TGCATTCACAAGCAAACTAAAGAGCATTCATTAGACTTTTTAGCACCATTTTGACTTGCTTGTAACAAAATGCATGCACAGTTAATTGTTAATAACACTTTAGTACAACCTAAAATTCTTAACTTACCTACACAATCAAGTTCACAGCCAGTATCACAACATTTCAGCCCCTCTCGACAGTTACTGTCATCGGTACAAAAGTTTTCAGGTTGCACTGGACATTCAAAATCTGATCCAAAATCTGGACATGTGCCTGGTCCTGGAAACAGATTTTAAAACTTGCTTTATGTATGTGTCTAAACCTGTTGTAAGCATATTTACACTTGAACCCAGACAGTGTTCCTAATTAAATAAGGAGCAGTGTGGTAAATTTCTTTGTGATTGGGACCAAAAATGACCTCAAAAAGGAGGGTTGGATAAATGTAACAAAATTCACAAAATGTGGTATTGGTTTAAACCAGCAAGCTAGCCTGATCTAAGCATTGATAGGACGGTTTTAAGGTCATGTCACATTAACTTTATACAGTTTAACTGAATAATACATGTATGTTCCTCTCTTGGTTGGATAACCATACATTATATATAGAATAATTAATGTGGTTAAATGTAATTTAAGCTAAGTTAAATGCGAAACAATGCTGGTCAGCAGCCTTCCCCTGTTTTGGACATGCGCAGTGGTGTGGGGTCTGCTGGGGGGTCGTGTGGTTTTACAGTGTGGCTTTTGAGGTCAACTCATTCTCACGTGCATTTGTGCCATTTTGACTGTGCTATGTATGAGAAGGAATAAGCAGATTCTGGCCACCGTTTGACACTTTAAAAATATTTAAAGGAGAAGGTCACTCCAGAAAGCTTTCTTTTTTTCACCACCCAAAGCAAGTAAACATTGAGTTTTTCCACTCGCCAAAGTTTCGGCCTCTAAAGTGCCTGCTATCTTGGAGAAATTCGTCTTGAAAGGAGCCCAAAATTTGACTTTAGAGGCCACCATTATGAAACTGTACTTGGCAGCCAAGCCATGTTTATGTGACGTCATTCCATCAAACCTGCAAGGTCAGCAGAATGTATTTTTTTCAACTGATTATCCACTTCACTATCTTCACTGCTATCATTTTTGTCTTTGGAGCACATTTGGTTCGAAATATTACCACTCAAGAGCAGCTATAACCTAGAGAGGTAGTTTTAAAAAAAGGCTTGTTGAAAGCCATGGACAAAATCCCTTGGACAGAATGACATCACAAAAACATGGCCTCGTTGTTCAAGAGTACTATACAAAATAGCACAACAATGTCGAATTTTGGGCTTCTTTAGAGGCAAATTCCATAGGGAAAACCTACACTTTAGAGGCTGAAACTTCGGTGAGTGGCTAAACACAGCGTGAGGTTTTTATTAGCATTGACAAAAAAAAATACATTTTTTGGAATGACCTCCTCCTTCAACAAATGACAACTACACTCTGACGGTGTAATATAGTACATCCAAAGACAAATTTTTTGATATAAGCAACATGGCAAGAAGACACAGGAATTATGGGAATTACATCACGAGTTACATCATGTTACGTCTGCCATCTTAGATTTTTTATGTCAGAAAACCTCTATAGA